TAGAATCTTAAAGTATGCAATTTTAGACGATTTTTCGTCCAAACCGGGCCTCAATATCTTGTTTCGTTCGAAAGATATCGAGGTTCACAGGTTTTGACTTCCACCCCCCTAGCGCCCCCCCAAATTTTTTTGGGGGTCTGAAAATTTGGGGAAAGAAGCGCTCCAGTATTAGTAACTGATAGACGAAGTTTGAATAAGTTTTAGTGGGGGGGCGAAAAATGTCGTTTTTGCATACGGCTCTTTTCTTCTGGGAGGTAAGGTCCCTTTTCACAGATCGATTCACATGTGTTTAACAAGATGGATCAAAATGAAGAAAATATCAGAGTTATCTGAGTTTTACTTTCCGGATCTTTCACCAGTAGAATACTGAGGGAATACTGCCCCCTATTACATTTCAAAGCTCTTACAGTTTGCCATCCATCTTATTTATTGTTTTGTTTGGCAGTGATCAATTTGGTTATTTTGGTGCCAATAAAGATGCGGGTGCACATTTTGCTGATTTCTAGTTAGTTTTAATAATGTATTTGTGTTTGGTTTTCTTCTTGGGCGGGTTCTCAAGGGTTTTTGGGTTGGTTTATGTTGAGACAGATTCCAGGAAACGGGGAAAACGGTTCTAACGAAAGATTTGAATTACAGATCGATGGTTCAACATTAAAAACGCTTTGTTGTCAACACGGTCCTCTGCAAAACTTCCATTTGTACCTGAAACATGGGATTGCCCTTGCTAAATACTCAACAAAAGAAGAGGCTGTGAAGGTAGGTCTATCAAAGTTTAATGTTTTACCGACATTCATGTCTGTGCTTTTCTTTTTAATTAGCTCTGAAAGAATAGTGCATGATGCTTGCCATCTTATAAATACAAATTTATTCTATCAATTAATTTCCTAACATAATGAGCCTATCAGTGGTTCATGTTGAAACAGGTCTTAGTAACTCTCAAAAAATCAGGCAGGATAAATATCCTAATTCTTCATGAAACTTTTGAGACGTAGTATATGCCCAATTTCAATTACAAAAGGTAAATAACATTTTCAAATCGTAAATTTTAGCTCAGCTTTTTTGTCATTTGAACAGCATCATTAAATTTAAATTATTTTGAAAATATTCGGTGTCAGCTTTTTCAGTTGGAAGTTAGAAATTCATCTTGAACAACGAACATAGCTTTCAATTTACCCTTGCGATTTTGTTTTTTTTTTTAAGATATTAGTTTGCAGACCTTTTTTTTTCTTTTTTAATTGGTCTATCTTAATTTTGGAGCTGAAAAATTTGACAAAGAATTCTGGTTGTATAATGTGCTTCTGTGATGGGAAAACTGGCACGGAACTGCAGTAAATGTAGTCCCTGAAGATGGCAGAATGAAACCTAACAGTATCTCAAGATGCAACTAAGAACCGCGAGAATACAAGCTTATTGGACACATGATTTCTGCAATTGATTTGGAGCACACACCCCCTCCCCCTTGTCCCTAACTTTCTCGGCTTCAAACTCTCGAAAGAAATTCTATGGCAAGTTTTACAAGAGTAATGGGAGCATTTTTAATAACTCCCGTCATCGCCCTCAGCTATCCCTGTCTTTTGGGCACAATAGTGAAGAGATAGGATTAATGCTTTGATTTTGGTACAACAGGCTCAAGGTGCTTTGAACAATTGCGTGTTAGGGAACACGACAATATTCGCAGAATCTCCGGCCGAGTCAGAAGTGCATTCATTACTTCAACACCTCGGCCAGCAAGGAGGGTCCAACAGTGGCTGGAACCGTCCTACGGGGGGAGCCCCGAAACCTGCAGGTACAACTGATACTTGGAGCTCGGGTTGGCCGTCAAACTCACCTTCAAGTAGCTTGTGGGGTGCTCCTCCTTTGGACGAGCATCGCTCAACCCCATCTTTGAATTCTTTCTTACCTGGTGATCTTTTGGGTGGTGAATCAATGTAAGCAGCCAAGTATCTGCTGTGTTCATAAGTTCAATTCACTACAACAAATTTTTCCATATCGTAATCTTTACGTAGTCATTATTGAGACTAGATTTTAAGGGTGTATCCATAATCATCCACGACACTTTAACTACTTCCCAAAGAAGATTTCTCATGTTGTTCATTTCCTCTTTTTTTTCTCTTTTTTTTATTTATTTGATTTTAATCCATTTTTATCCCTTATCCCCCCACTTTTATTTTCAATTTTTCTTTTGTTGATGATGTCCATATCCCTAATTAAATTTAGTCATTTTTGTATAGAGTTATTTCAATAAGAGTGTTAATCATGTTTTAAAACTTTCGATTGTTGTTATTTCAAGTATCCCTTTTCATATTTTTCCATGCGATAGGTAAGAGCTTACTTTAATATTGAATGCTGTATAACCATTATATTTACTGTATCTCTCATTACTTCATTTACTATTAGTTTGACTACATATTATTATTCTTGAGCATTATTTTTAATTAGGATAAAGGGATCCTGAAATGCAATGTGCATTATGTCTCCATGATAGTGATTTCTCAATCAATTTTGCTTTACCAGCCAAGAATTTTTATTTAGTATTATAGGGTACAAATGTATTGTGTTCTGCTAGTCGTCGCTACTAAATTTATCGGCACAATTATTTTAATTTAAAATTAAAGAATGACTTTGGGAAAACAACAAAGAATTCTTGGTTGGAAGTGAATTATTCAAGACAAAATTTCTTTTAATTTGTGCTCCAGTGAAAGAAAAATAACTGTGAGTTTTCCTCATATAAGACAGACCGTGAGCATCTGCTTCGGCTAACAATTTTGATTTTCAATATTTCTTTTGTTATGAAAGTTTTCCTAAAAGTTTCTGTTACGTTTTAACTGTTAGTATATAATTCATTTTAAGCACAATATGAAAGAGACGCCTTGGTTAGTTTTCTTTTTTAATTTTTTTTTTTTTTAATAAATAATTAATTTAATCGAATTTTAATCCTAGCAGAGTAAATTTATGTTAAACAAGTGCAACGGCATCAAAGTTAGTCGCAGAAGCGTTTTGATTGAAACAGTATGTTGCTGACTTAAGTTGTTTTTAAAAAAATTTTATGAATGTATTTTACTAACTTACCTGTACTGTCTCTTAATGAAATTCAGAAAAGTTATTTTTAGCATGTCTTAATTTATTTTTTTATGTTACTTTTCTATCTTAGCCTACTCTACTGTTGATTTCATTCGTGCCCAACATGGTTGTTCTTAATGTAGTTTCCTCCTCGAACGGACGCAGAATTTTTTAATTTTTCCTCCAATTTTTTTAAATGTTCATTGGCGAGCAAAGTCGAAATTTTTAATTTTTTCCAAGTCACACGGCAGTTATTTACATAAAGAATTAAATTAAAACACTCATCTCTCAGGTATATTTTTAACAAATTTATAGACTCAATTTTCAATTTTCATGCTTTTCTTCATTTATTTCTTATTTTTGGAGTAAAATAACAAGTGGCCGTTGAAAATCAGTTAGCTCCAGCCATTTGAACCTAAGTACATCTTGAACGTTGAATCATTTGAATGACCTTGACTCCCTCCCTTACCACAGATTTCAGCAGAAAAAAAAGAAAAAAATATTGCATTTACATAAATTGTGGGTTTCCTCTCTTGACTATTTTTCTTTTCTCGTTTCAGACCCTTCCTTAATACTTGCATTTGTTAAATTCGATTGAATTAAAAATTTATTATCATGACACTTTGTTTGCTTATGTTTTGTTCCCTTAATAGGTTTTAACTTTTTTTTAATGGTAGTATTTTCTTTTCTGCGCAAAAAACAAATGAAAAACTACACAGATAGTGAGTTCAATAACTGATTAATTTAGGGGTAATTTTTAAGATGAAGTAAGTATCTTTGCTGTGTTTTTTTAATTCTGGTCCAAATAATTATACTATGTACATTAGTGGATGAACTAAAATTTTTAATTTTGATTTAGTGGGTATTTTTTTAAAAGTGCTAAAACTCTGGATCATAATAAAGAACTGTTTAACTCTTATCTCATATGAATAATTAGGTTTTAAAAGTTTTAACTTATGTTCGCAAACAAGAAAAAAGTAGGAGTATCTGAACGTGCAGTAGCTAATGATAATTGTAAAAATGTTACGTTATGAATTATATTTCTTTTTTAATTTTGTTATTTAGGTGATAGTTTTGTTTACAATCCATTTAACGTTTTCATGATTTGTTGTCTGTTTCTAAGCTAAACCTGTTTCGTACTCTAGTGCCGCTATGCACAGTAGTCATCGCCAAGGCGAATGTGACACTGATTAACTAGAATAGAACGTTTATGTTATCTGTGAAACAAATGCTCAAATTACCTACGAGTATCATTGAACTAACCCTTATTTAGACTTAACAACAATCAAGTTTAGCCAATCAAGATTCTTTCTTGATCTGAAACTCCAGTCCAGTGTCCTTGTCTCATGTATCTTCTCTTATTTCTCATTTTCTGGTTCTTCGTATTGAAATTTTACAAAGAATCAAAACTCACTCCCGGGCTATAGTTACTGTCTTGAGTTCCTCCATGAATTTAAAGCAATCATAACATCTTTCACTTTCGAGTAGAAGTCTGTGCCCTGTGAAAGGATGCGTTTAGGTGTAAAATGTTTGTCGTCAAGCAGTTAAGGAACAGATGAAGCAAAACTGTTATCAGTGGATCAACTGTGTATTCTTATTTCATTACATTTTTTTTGTTGCTGAAATTCGGCTCTTCTTTGATTCACACTGTGGTGAAGGGATGGAGAATTTATACTCAGAATCTTTGCAGCCGCTGTTCTCTTGCTGAATCTCCGTATTGCAGTTTTGACAGTGACTTGGCAACAGACATCCCTTTTTTTCTTTCTCACAGAACTTAGCGGAATACACAAGTTTCATGATGATTCCTCGATTAGCTCATCTGTCAATTTGTCTATCTGCTGAATGTATGTCTTATTTTTTGCATTTAGTCAATATTCTTTTGAATCTCTGCTCAGACTTTAAATGGCTTACCTTTTTTCAATCTTGTCAAGTATTTTGTGGTGGATTCCGTCCTTTGTCCTCATTTTTCTCTGGATTGTGGTTTGTTTTTACCAGCTAATTTTTTGCTGTGGATGTTTTGTTTTCTATGTGACTTGAACATACTGGGAACATTTATCCTAGTACTCAATAGAACCAATGTTTGTCTGTATTAGCATCAGTGCATTTTTCAAATGATTGTGATGAGTTTGTTGCAATGATCTTGTGTACAGTTTTATTTGGGTGTTTTTTAAATGTAGTTGAAAATATAACCCGTTGTAAAGTCTAGAAGACACAATTCAAAAAGCAGCTTTAAATGGTCTTTGCGGCTAAACTGAATTTTAGAATTGAAATCAATTATTGTTCTGCAATAGCATTTTAATGTTGCCTTGTGCATTTTTATTGTTAGTCCATTAACTCTTTTTATTTTTATAACCCTCTAACTTTCTCTCTCTGACAAACATTACTGCCCAGTTGAATAAATTTCTCAAGTTTATTTAAGGAAGAATCCTCCTTCGCATTCTTTATTAGAACCAGCACAACTTCAAGCTCATGAGTACTGATTTAATGTGACACATGTATGTGGCGAACGTCCAGAATGAATCGCTAGGAGCAGTCTAACTCGTCTTGAACATCTTGCAATCTTTTCTCTCTAAACCGTATTCCTTTGATTTAATTTAAGATTTCTCTTATTCTCGCGGTTTTTTTTAACCTCCCAAAATTCTACAATCGTGTAAATAGCTCCTCTTGAATTTTAATGGATCTCCCTAGGTTATGTTCAGTCCTGGTGGCACTCCGTGAGGGTGAGAGCATACTGTGAGTTGAAAAGATGCTGCTGTTTGTTACGTAGAGTTCAAGAGTAACATTTTTGGGAGTAGATAGAATAGTACTGTACAACAGCTGATGAGTCTAGGGAGGAGTTATCAGCCTATCATTTTCCATCATGAGAAATCAGAATTTTAACCTCAGTCAAAGGCTAGGAATCCCATCATTGAATTTTCATAGATTCAGACTATTAACTTGTGCATTTCTGGAATTACTTAACTTTGGAATAAATAGGTAACCTGAAGAAAATTTTCATGATCCTCATACAGAGATTCACAGAGTTTCTTTTCAAGCACTTGACCATGCTGGAAAATGGAAATCTGATTCTTATAACTTGAGATGTGTTGAGAAATTTAAACACTAAGTGGTAGCTCAGTTTCCGTACTAATTTGAAAAGTTGATAAAATTTAACACTACCAGGCCGTGCATGATTCCTTCTCTCTCTTTCACTTGTCCCTTTTTGAGAATGATAAGACGGATACTTGAAATTTGCCAATTATAATACCAAATATTAATTGTAATTGTATAAATGTTTCTCCCCCTTTAGTGTTTAAAATCCTCACGTAATATTAATTTCTGTATGTATTAGGAATAGTAGCAGAAATTTCAGTGTATTAATCAAAATTTTGCTTTCTGTTCTATTGCCTCTCATTATTTGAGTGAAGGAATCATCATTCGTCGGTGATCTTCCATCTCAATACATTTGTGCTCAAGATCAAAATGTTTGTCGAACACATTAGCTTGATGATGTAGCCAAAACCCAACAGTATCTCTTGAAGTAACTTAGCAGTGCTGGACAGTGATATTTTCTCACTGTCACATATTAACTATCGCATACAAGTTAGAATGATCTTTCGTGATCGCATACCTCTTGGTTAGAGCTTTTCGACAAGATATTGACTGATGTTTAACTACTGTGAATCTTCTCTATTAACAGGTGAAGGCATTAATGATGTTGGGAGGGAGAGTGATTGATGACTAGTTAAATAGGAACCGTAGGAATGAATGTATTATGTTAAAGGAACAACTGTGCACCTTTTTCTCCTGCTTCGAGTTATTTGTGGTTTGTACCTTGTTCAAATATTATTGGTTGAGTGACAAGGCATCTCAGATGTTAGTCTAGCAACTCATTTTGGAAGCACCTTCTCTGGACTTGCGAGATCGCATTGGCCTTCTTTTACCTTTTCTCTCCGTGAACGCAAAATCAAATCTGGGTAATTTTTCTGCCATAAGAGTAGCCCTCGAAAGCAGACAATTGATATTTCTTGCATGCGACTGCTCGGTCTGCTGTTGACCCCATCTTGTGGGATAAGAGTACCAGCATTGGTTTGATTCGATTTAAACTGCTGTCTGATTTACAGCTCGTTTTCTTACCAGATACCCAACAAGTGTAAACTGTCATTTATCGTTTCTATTTATTGCATAAGTATTTCGGTAGAAAGCCGGGATTGTAGTGCATTTTATTAATTATTATTATTTCTGGTCGTTGACTTCACCAAGAAAATTGGTTCGCAGTTTTGTCCCTCCCCTTCTTCAATTTAGTTTTATTTGACATTGACAGTGAAAGCTTAAGTTGCATAATATATGTTAGTTTAGTTTATTCTTAATGCTAGTTTAGGTTAAGTTTTTAGGCTGGTAGGTAATTCAGGTTTATGCTTTCTTATTCTCATTTCTTGCCCTCTTACCCAACTTTTCATTCTCCCTCCTAATTTATATTGAATATCTCGTGAGTTCGCAATCATGATCCACCTCTGCAAGACCGCGCAAGGTGAAATTAGCTTATTTCGTCAAGTGTTGAGATCTAGTCGTAGTCATATGCCCCTAAATATAATGTATCAAATTCTAGTGCTTCAGATTCTGATTTGATCGAGTTTCCTTTTTTAATTCTCACAGAATTCAGTAGAATCTATTTTGTGACGACATCACCCATATTTCTTTCCTTAATTTATTATTCACTTGACTCTGGTTACTTTAAACTAGTGACAACCTTTCAAGCCAATGCTCTATCTGGTCCTGGCTCTGCTCTCGCACTTATTTTATTTTCCTCTCTCTTTTCAAACCTCACTACAAATCAAAAATTTTGATAATCAAAAAAATCGTCATATTGGCCACCTAATTGAAACAGTTTATGGCCATTTTTTCTGAACAATAAACTGAGATTTTTTTTCTCTTTTTTTTCATTTTAATACAATTAGTAGGCTCACAAAACAGCAGTCAATGGATTTCCCTGTGTAATCCTCCCTTTGCTAATACTTTCAGTTTAAGTGCTAAGATATGCTGTGGAGAAAAATAGCGGACTATAAACTAAAAAAATCTCTGAAAAGCAAGAGCCCTCTAATTTTAATTTTTTAGTTTTATTGTTTCTTAGGTAGTTACTTATGCAATAAATACATAAACGACTTTTTACAATTGTTGGTAAGTGGCCATCTTGAAACAAAATTTGAAGTTTGTGCTGCCATGCTGGTCTCTTTGTTTTACAGTGACATGTTTCGAGGAAGTCAAATAACAACCAGTGCTTGCCTGACTAATTTGTCCTTGTTAATTGGCTCTCCTCGCTATTTCGTTTCATCTTTTTGCTATCACACGGAATTTTGGCAAACTAGTCGCACCTCACCATGCCTCAGGAGAGACGAACTTTCATCCCTTGGGGTTATTGTGCTGTATCTAAACGTACATGCATGCTTAAGTATTGTAGTCGAGCGAAATGATGGCTGAAGCATAGTGGTAGCAAATTCTGATTATTGCTTGAGATCCGAATTTAGCAAACATCATAGAGGTTAGAACATTTCAGTTTCCTGAAAGTTTTGTTTGTCGTAAGGAAATTTTAAATATACTCTTTTCTTCTTCGTAAATTGATAAGCATTGACTTTTAAGGTGTAACTAACTTTATACGCATTTCAGGTCTCCAGTAGCAGCTTATTCGCTGCTGTTACAACCGGTTAAATTTTGTGTTTCCCTCGAAAGACTAGTTAGTATTCAGAATTAATGAAGGTACCCGATGGAAGTCTGATATGAGGATGCCCTAACATTCGGCATTCTTTCTGTCAGTTCTCTCCACAATTTTGTGAAAGTTGTTTACGAACTGTCAAATTCAGTGATCAAATGACTCAGCAGCGTTTCTTTGTAGATGTTTTCAGCGGAAGTTTCAGTTAGAGCACTTTGTGCATTCCACACTTTGAATTGTTACTTTGTTAATTGTATGTAAATCTAGCTGTCAAGTCTTATCAAAGTTCCTTTTAGTAGCCCCTGTTCTTATTTATTTTTGCTTTTATTTTTTTCGTTCCCCTCTTCCTCCCATACCTCATTGACCTGAAAGTTTCTAACAAATTGTTTCCACGTTTCTTATTATCTGAAATGATTACTTGAATTTATAAATTAATTCTCATGAATTAATTGAAGGTCTTGTGATGTAGATTGACAACTCATAAACGAAGTCTGATAAAATTACTTTTATAAGGAAAAAGATCTAGGTTTAGAATTTTTTTTTCCTTCTCTCATTTTTCGTCTTTGAATTTCTTCTTCTAGTGTAATTTGTCCTGTTTATGATAATACATACTTAAATGTAAGAAATTCCCAAAGATTTAATAAATGGGTGTTATTCCTATGTTTTATCTACCAGTGTGTGTTAGTTGATACTGATGAATAATTGTATTAAATTATTGGTTATTTATTTCGTTAAATATATGCATATATATATTTATTTTTTTCCTTAAAATTTTTATTTTTATGCTGAACCCGATACTTACTTTCAAATCTGCTTCTCAAAATCAAACTGAAGTAGCTATGTTGTAAGTGACGAATATTACTAATAATCACTAAAGTGAATTTACTCTTAAGTTTAGTGGTTAATTGTTGTAAATTTACAAAAGCTAAAATCAACTGTTCAGTTTTCCTCTCTCCTTTTTTAAATCAAGTGCAGTTCTCTAGATTTCCTATTTTCTAATATATTTGTTTTTACAAGGGGGAAAAATAAGCATGTTACCACTCCGATGTCCCGTGTTATCGTTTTTATAATTTTGGTGCCTAAAATTTTAAAAATGTACTTGATAATTTCCAATCATGATACTCAAACAATGTATGCAAAAATATTTGGGGTAAATTTTTTTGTAGAGCGCATGGTCAATCACGTGCAGTTAGAAAACCTTTCCTCAAATCCAACTGTTTCCTTTTTTCCAACAGGAGTCGTAACAGTGTTTCTTTTCTTTCTATAGTTGCCTCAGTCTCTGCCCTGATTATTTCTTACACGGTAGCGTCTCAGCTCTCGCTTGAGCTTTCTCTGTGTTCACATTTGATTCAAGTGTTCTGTCAAAGAATCTAGTGTATCCAGACTTGAAACTCTCTCACTTTATTCCTAATCAGCCGACACATTTCTCTGGGCTCAAGAGGGCTTCAATTTAGTTGCACATCAACGAATGAGCTTTAAAATACCTGATAATCAGTTTTTATACAAAGGAAGGAACAATTTCTATAGCTTTAAAGAAAAACAAAAAATTGTCCGTGCGCACTCTATACTTCTCCAATTCTGTAACCTAGCTGAATACACACTAGTTCTTGCAGTTATTCAACTGATCTCGAAAAATTCTTTCTTTCAGTTTGTCGAAAATTGTGCGTTTTTGTAACTGGCACAAGCAAAGAACTGCTCTTGTACTTATCAAATCAAAGCTCAATGCATTGCTTTAGTGTAGTAAACATTACCATTTTCTTTATGTCTCGTCATATCAGATCACCCTTATACCAAAAGAACGTAAGTATCTTTCAGATGAGTTCCAATCTTTTTCCCTCGTATCTTAATATTTTTTATATATCCATGCAAAGGAAACAGGAATGAACATTTGTGTGGATTGGCACACAAATGTGTGATGTGTCTATGTGCGCATTTGTATTTTAAATTTCATGTGTATTATAATTAGCCCATCCTCAGTATTTTTGTGATTTATAAGTGCCACTTTTTTCATTCTATGATTTAAAGGAAAAAATTATGTATTAATATGTATTAACATTTTTTATTTAGTTCTTAGCTCATAATTGATATAAAAGCATAAAATTTAACAAAAAAATCATTAAATAATCTAAAAAAAAAAAAAAAAAAATTAAAAAATTAAAAAAAAACAAAAAACAAAAAAAATTAGCTAATTTTTGTGTTTAAAGGACTTTCTTATTTGTGAGGGGTTTTTAGCCCTGTCTTATTAGGTTTATGATGGTTTATATCTAGGATTAACTGTAGGAACTTTATGTATGTCTGTGTGTATTAATAATTTCTTCTCTCTTTTTGAATGCAAATTTTATTTTAAATCACCTTTGCCTGTAATTTTTGTATCAATATTTTTGAACTAATCCCTTGCCGTGGCAGTTGGCGAAGAAAGTAAAGTGTTGCTTTTTTAAGCTTGCTGTCATGTAAGGCGTTACTTACATCAGAGAAACCAATTTGCTTGCCTCTCTTTCTGGAACACGGTTACCTTAATTTATTTCTTCCCTCTTTTTAATGAACTTTATTCTAATTTTAATTTAATTTGCTTTTAATGGTTCATTCATAACCTCTTGAATTGCTAGTAATTAGTCCTTATCAATTCTAGTCTTAATAATAAACATTCCAACATTTGTTTTCATCTTACTCCCTTTTAAGTATCTAAATTGTTTTTCTGTTGAAATGTTATGAACAGGTACAAGCGCCAATACTTCTAAACTACTTTTGAGATTAATAACATAGAATGAAATACAGCTGAAGGGAAGGAAGTAAACGTGCAGTTTGAATGTCCTTTCTCTCCCTCCGACCCCATCATCATCCCTCCCTTCCCTTCTGCAATCCCCAGTATAGGAAAGCTTACAGTAGTTGAAGTATTCGCATATTTGTTAAGAGATGATAAAATTTCAAGTACAAATTTCTGTTAGTTTGGTGCGTTCTATAGTTCGTGTTAATTCTGTTGAATCTTATAATGTATCCTGTGAGACAAAGATAGAAGAACTCAAATGACGTTTTCGTTGCTCAAAAATAATTGTTTTTCATTCTCATGATGAAAGTAAGGGAAAGGTTTTATTTTTGCTTCGATAGAAATTTGTCTTCTTTTTTGGTGATAACAAGACTTGAGTGTCCTTTCTTTGACTAGTTAGTAATCATGCTCTGTTGCCAGATAAGGGTTTTGATATGCTCCTCGCTGATCCTTCTTCAATTTTGAAAGAACCCATGCTAAAGACCCTCAATCAATTAGATGACACATCGTGCTTACCGCTCGGTCTCTATCAGTGATGAGCATCCGTCGCTTTACAGCCATTGCTCTGGCAGCTTTGCATTGCGTTTTTTCTACGCATTAGGAAAACTTTGTCTTAGTACAATTACTCATGTAGATCATTTTGCATTTGTTAATTTTATTTATTTTAAGTTTAAATTAGTCATTAATTTATCTTCTTCTCGTTCACTACATTCTCTCTTCTCACTCAACGTTAGATTCATTCAGCGCTGTGGCTTATTTGTGTTCAAAATCATACCAATGTTTGCCGTATGCTCTATTTCCCTCAAATTAGAGTGTGTACACTCTCAAGTTTATATTATCTGAACGGTTTTTTAGTCATCTTTTCCCTCAGAACCGTAAGAAGCTTTTGCTTCAGTTTCTCTTCTATATTCTGTAACCCCTAATTACCTTTTAATTCGGTTGACAATCTTAAATTACTCTTCATCACTTTTCCAAAGGTTCTACTTCCAAATCTGGCAAAATTTGTCCCTCTAACAAAGCGAGCTTTCCATGCTTAAAGGTCGCTCGTCAGCCCTCAGAGATTCATCACATTCTTCAACATGTCTCCACCGCAGAGAGAACTTCATCATGAAGTTATTATATTGATCTATCATCAAATTTCGCCCTCCAACTAAAGTTCTTTTCCTCCTCTTTTTCTTTTCCGCAAGAGAATTTATTCTTGAGCTAAACATCTTGGAATTTAATTTTTGTGTCATCGTTCTCTAAGTCATGTAGTTCTGTCTTGCAATGTGAAAGGGGAGCTTGTATCTTTTTTTTCTTTTTTTTTTTTCGATATTTTGACTTGACAGTTTTCCCCTCACTGAAAAGTATCTAAAGCAAGTGAACTTAAAACCAGTTCCTTTCGTACAAATCGCTTTCAAAGCGACCATCAACACCATATACCCATAGGTATTATGTAGTTTGATAATTGGCTGTGTATTAAGAAATGTTTATTTTAACTTACCAAGGTAAATGTTAGAGTAGTTCGATTCTCCAGTTGATCAAATTAAGTGTAACTTAGTCTAATTTATGTATGTCAATGAATGGAAGATTTCAAACTACATCCTTTTTTCTCTCGAAATCAAGTTGTAAAGCACCAAAGGTGCAGAGATGGCACTATAAGTCTAGAGACTCTCCTAAAACTTACATCATTCTGCTGTTCCTGTACATTCCCATGCTGGTTGTCGTTATCTTTATCCTCATCTACGAAAATTATGATTTACTTTCCATATACCTGCTGTGGCCTACGTCCGAAGGACTAATTAAGACCAAGTTCCAACAATTATCACTCGGACAATGGGATAATTTTTCCTAAATCGTTTCACCCCCATCTCTTTCAGAAGAAGTAAAAGGAATTAGTAACCCTAATCCTGAAATTGTGTTGCTTCACTCTGATTGGTCGAACAGTACTAAGTGATACTGTTCAAGGACATCCAAACATAGTATCGGAGGAATGAGTTATCCTCAATCGAAAGACATCTTTGTTTTGAGTACTGAAGACACATTGTTGCCCAACACTGCTCTTACTTTATTCAATTTCACTCCAAGTTTTCTATTTGACATAGGTTTGTCTTTTTTCTGAAATTATATATTTCTACAGTTGGATCAGTAGATGATTATTGCCAGAAGCTTATTTTGAATACCATGAAGTTGTCCACTCTTCATCATAAGACTTTTAACCCTACAGTCTAGTAAGGTACCAGGAGAACCAGTCTGAGCAGCTCTTTGAGTTTGCTCTGATTTGATGTTGGAATTACTTTTGTGTCAAACATTAGACTTTCTAGTTCATTAGTTTGAGATTTTTCATTTGAATTTGTGAGAGGTAGGTCTTCTTCAATACTTGACCAGAACACTACAGTCCAGCTTAATGCATCACAACATAATGACTTATTTTCCGATTTGGTCTCTGCTACTTAAACCCGATCAACTTCTACATGACGGTAATGCACTAAACTGTTCAAGGAGTCAGAAATCAATTCAGATTAGAAAGGTATCTTGTGACCTAGAAAATCTGGAAAATTCAAAAATCTGGAAATCGAGAGGAAACCTTGAGTGGATAAGAATGAAATCTCAGTCATTATCCCTTCAATTTCTTCTTTGCTAGGAAATGGTGTGTCAGAAGCAAGACTTGGAATTAGAAGCAAGACTTGGCACTTACAGCAGTTTTGGAGCTGGAGCAACAAATCTACCCAAATTTTCTGTGAAAATGGTATTGCCATTTGTTACCGATTTTGAGAGCTTTGTATTGAGCTATTTAGTCACGAGGTTTTCCTCATTGCCTTAGTTTTTCGTGCCAAAATATTAAATTTAACCCCATTTCTTTAACCGTTTATGTGGTATTGTCTCTAATTGGTCATGCTTCTATTGAATATCTTGTCATTAATTGCTTTCTTCTTTTTTTTTTTCAAACGGGTCAACCCACAGATTTTGTTCATTTGATACTTTCTATCTACTTCTCTACTATCAAAGTTGCTGTCTAACAGAGCCCATTGTTGTCAAGTTTGTTTCTATCAGCTCAATCAGATTTTCCGGTGTAAACTGGATGTAAATTTAGTTTGTTGGCAGATTTTCAATGATCAACCGCTGCTTTGCTCTCAAGTAATGGTTAATATTTGCGATGTGCAGTATCAGAGCCGTGAATTAATTTAGGATGAAGGGTAATTTCTTGTTAAAATTAGGTATTTGGAGAACTTTTGATCCTGTGTCAAGTATTAGCTCAATTTTATGTGCATAACTTTTCAGACTTGTCAATTACCTTTTTTTGCAATCACCTATTTTCTGTAGATGTAAAATGATTTTGACTTTTGAGTCCTTCCTTCAAATCATACAATTGACAAAAACCTTTTTTAGATCCTCAGTTTATTTTCAATTTTAAGATTATACTCAAGTTTTTGAGTTAAATATTAAATTTTTCTTCAGGCAAATGTGTCCTTACAATCCTAGTGATATTTATTTTTGGTTATAAATTTTCTCCTCTGCATCCTTTAGTGCACCATCTTTGTTTCCTTGCATTGTTGACCATTAAGTTCTGAGGAAATACACTTTTCTGGTCTATAAGACTAATGGTAAAAAAGACTGACAGCTATTTAAAAATTGCTACAAATCTTTTTTTTTTTTTTTTTTTTTTTTTTTTTTTTAACATCCCATTGAGGAACTAAGCATGTTTTTATACATTCAGGTGAAGCTTTTCTCTAAGAGTGCACCATCTTTTTCACAATGTCCGTAGTCACTATTACAATAAATGCTGACCAACGAAGATTGTATTTTTGTAGTTTTTGGTTCCATATCGGCATCAAAGGTCCCTTTCAAGTAAGGCGAATTAAGGTTTTGATCAAAGGCTTGCCAGACCTTGCTGTATTAGAGCTATGCGGAAATGATCAAGTCCTAGCCAGTTGTGCAAGTAAATTGGTTTCTCTATTTTTGCTTTTTTTCAATCTCTATTTATTTAATGTTGAATAAATTTTTAAAGGTGTCGGGATTCACTGATGAAACAGCCATATCATAAACAATAATAATTGTTATCAATTTATTCATGTCTAGGTGAAAGTTTATGTTCGCTTCAATCTATATTGTCCCCTTCCTTCATCTCTCTCTCTCTCCATCATATAGCTCATAAAAACTCTTAACTTGTAGGTAGTTGTGTGTAGATTTAGGTTTAGGATAATAATTAGGTATTTTAAGCTATGTAATTGTTAATTAACTAAATAATGGCTTTCTCATAGTAACTTTTTTGGTATATTGTGCTTTTATATTGCCCTTGAATGTTTGTTTTTTTATTATTTAATATATTCAATATTATTTATTATTATTACATTTTTAGTTTAATTTTTTCACATATTACTTCCTGCAGTACCATGGATAATTTACCATTTATTGGTTTTGTAATTCGGAGGAGTTGGATTCTTGCTGTGTTAAAAGCTACTTTTTTAGCCCCTCTGCCAGAATTTGTTTTTGTAGTTCTTGAATTTTGTGAAATTTTCTTGTAAAGTGTGTAAGACGATTTTCTGGAGAAAAGATATTCTTGTCAGCTGTCATTAGCTCACTACATGAAAATTTGCGCTTGATATTACCAGCCATGTGTTTTGAATAGTGATGTTTTTTTTATTATTTCATTTGAAGCACTGCCAAGATACTTAGATTTGCATCCCTTTCTCTTCACATTGTTGAGTACTCACTATCATGAGTCGTCCACTTTCGTCCCATGCCTGTCGGCCCTTGTGCCTGGTCCGCCAGAGACCCATAAACAAAATTTGACATGCACCCAGTTGGTGTCTCAACACTTCCACTCAAGGCTAGCTCTGAGCTCACCCCACTACCTATCTCTCTTGCTTGAAACAGTTACATTTCTCCCTGATGTCTTTTCACACTCCTTTTCTCTCTGTCAACTGACAGCTCTTCGCTGATTCTTGTTGTTTCTTTTTCAAGTATCTCCAGAAAATTATCAAGTGCTTTTATTATTCCGCCATAAGAACTCTTTCTATCGTTTGATTGATCTCCCGTTCTTGTTATCAATAAGACTGCAGCAGCTTTAAAATCCATGGTTTAAAGGGAAACAAAATTTGTCCACTACAGAAAGGCAGTATATAATACTCTCTCTGAGGTTTTGTGTGACAAAAAGTTGGAACAACATTTAGAACTGGTCTTCATCTGATCTGACTCTCCAAAACTGCCCTTAAGAAGCAATGTTGCCTGTCTAATTTTTTCAACAAATTTTTCGTGATATCAATGCATCACAGCTTATAGTGCGTCCAGTAGAAATAACTCTGACGGGAGTAGAGCAGGATCCCATTTTGAAATCATATTTGAGTTGTCACTGGTGATGTTCTCGCACTCGGTCTCCTCCTCCCCGCCTCCCTTATCCCTCAAAAGTGAACTAAATCTTGACAATCCTCTGAATTATAAAACCATATCCCCTTTTTGAAAGTTTCTATGCAATCAAACAAGACTATTCATTAAGTAATGGTATGGAACAAAATTCTAAAAAAGAAGTAACTCTTTTAATTTTTATTTTACTTTAAACCTCCACCCCTCTTTTTGTCTAATTGATCCCTGCTGTTCATAATCTTGCGCAATTGTGATTTAAATTTTATTGAATGTACATTAGGAAAACGGTAGAAGAAAGAAGTATAAGGAAAAACCATATATAATATTATGTGTAAGGAATTATATTATGGAAACAAAAAAAAAAATAATCGAGGAAAAAATTAAAAAAGTGAGAAATGTACTTACTATTTTTAATAGCCTTATTATAAGTGAATACATGTATTATGTTAACATCTGTCTTCTTCCAGTGGTCTTAACATTTTCGAAACATAAATAAATTCAATGTTATTTTGTGTACTTTAAACTAGTATTTTTTTCCCTCCTCCTTCCTTTTAGCGTTGTCAGCAGCAGTCGCTCAGTAGAAATTCAAGATTTTCATCATTGAAATTGTTCCATTTATTTCATCTGCTGATCAGGTACTTAATTTTCTGTAAGGCAAAGAAACTAGTCATATAACCTGGTTCCTGATTGTTCTTTAGGATCCCTTATCACATGGCATTCTCTTCAACACCTAATGATGATATGGACGTATTTCTATCAACTGGAACTAAGCGCCAATTTGAGTTCCTTTTGAGGAATTTAGAATCCCGGATAGCGCGTTCTGTCAAACGGACCTAAGTGCCATGGAAAAGCATTGCGAGTATAGGACGGAATAAGCCGGACGCCCGATTCCGCCTCCATCTAAGCCCCCCTCTACCTTCCTCACCCTATGGCGCTTAGGTCCTCACCCTATGGCGCTTAGGTCTGTTTGATAGAAATACGTCCATATAGATTTTATGAGTTCTTCAGTTACCTTAAAAAACAATAATGTGCAATCCTAGCTCATGCCTAAATCTATGTAAAGCACTAATGGCACATGTGTTGTTCTGAAATGAGCCAGAAGTAGGAACTCACCGCAAAATATGTAGGAGAAAATTTCCTTAACTAGCAAATGTATTAAAGAAGCAAACCTGGAAATTTTGGCAAGTCGGGCTCTAAAATCTTAAAATTGAAGGAAATATTATAACGTCTAAAGTTCCAATCAAAAAATTCCTAGGTTGCACAAGAACAGAGTTTACGTTTTTGCAGAAAGTTGAGATAAATTTCCTCCCTTAAGACAATTGTTCACAACTCCGCTCTTTCTTCATGATCTCCGCTGAGCGTGTGAAACGTAGAACAAAAAGTGGATATTGAACAAATTGCACTTTGCGAGGCAGGAGTCAAGAGGTTTGAATGGGTCAGCTGCTCTGGTGACAGAATCGAGGTTTTTTGGTTTAAAAGTATTGTTTAGTTTTTTAGAACTAGGAAAGAGGTATGTTAGTCGTAGATCGAATTTTGTATCCTCTCAAGATAGGTGGAAACCAGCACAAAGAAATGTAACATCATCTAATCATAAAATTAAACACGTATTAATTTAACCCACCCTGATTATAGGTCGCCTCTAAATGTTGGAAAAAATAGTAAGATCTTTTGGAATGCCAAGTTATTCCTTCAAATATTAAGGGGCCTCTTGATGACAGCAAAACTTTGACTACGTCATCCACCGCGGTAATGCATAGCATGGTTTCCTCTCGCTTGGTTATAGCAATCAGTGATGTGATACATACATTTCCACCAGTTAATGACGGTATATGTTTTTCGATGATCATTTTTCTATCACATTTGATCTGAATTTTTTTGCTGATTTTCAAGCTTAAACCTTCAAAACTCGATTCTTTGACTTGCCCAGCTGATTGCAAGTGACCCATTACCCTTTCTAGGATGGAAATCAGTTCCTAGGATCCTCATGTGATGATGCAAGCTAATTATTTCACCGAGCTCAAATTTCGGTAGAAAATCCAACAATTCGACTGACTGAAGATTTGCAGATTATGTTTCCTGTAAATAGAAATTTAGAATTAGCTTTTCTACCAAAATCATACGGTAATGTGTAAACTATCAGATGTTTTCGATTCCAGTGTTTTTGAAAATAATGCCGCGCCATAAGTGATTATTTATTTCAAAAATAAATTGTTAAAATGAATGAACACCTTTTTCTTCTGTTATTTAAATGAAAGAATTTTGAAAACGTTTTCGAACAATCTCAAAGTGAGGGATAGCCATTTTTCACACACACACATAGACGAATGTTGTAAAACCATAATAAAATTAGCCCAATAATTTTAAAAAATACCATGTGTAGATTTGAGTATATTGATAAATTGGCTAAGATAAAAACTTGCGAATACGGAACAAAAGAATACATGGAAATCAAAGCGAAGGTTATATTTCTTTGTGCTGGTTTTCATCAGTCTTGAGAGGATACAAAATTCGATCTGCAAATAACATGCTCCTTATCTAGTTCTACAAAATAAAACAATATTTTTAACAATCCGAGGCTAAGTGCAAGTTCTGTGCAAATGGTTGGTTAAGAAAGACAGGGAACAACGGTGAAAGAAAAATTTGGGGCTCGCAACTAATTTTATTGAGATTTCAGAGAAATGAACCCTTTCATGAGTCCAATTCCATCAAAAATTGAGTCACATACATTCAGAATACAACATCTGTCCTCACCAGTATACTGTGATTTAAGGCTACAAAAGAAAGGAACTCAAATACATACGAAACCGGAAGTAATGAAAAACGAAACGAACAGGAAGCAGAGGTGACAAATTGTGAGCTAATAAATGAAATTAAAAGCCGGAAAATTAGAAAACTTGAACTCACAAAAATTAAATTAAAACTGCTGATGCTTTTCGGGGCTCTTCTGGAAAAAAGGGCTGGGGCGCCCCTAAACAGTTCTGGTTTTCTTTACTTTAAGGAACTCAAAATTCAGCTATTAAAACAATTACAGCCGGTATGATAAAAAATAAGTTACTGACATCAAGAATAGGTCAATTCCTAGTAAAGTATTGGTATAAAACCATTAAAGTTTGACAGTATGCGTCACTGATTTAAAATTGGATTTTAAAATGTTACTACTCATACAGAAAAATTAGCAAACAAAAATAGCTACTTGGTACCTCAAACACATGAGATGATACGTTCAAAACTTAGATTGTAAAAATAAATAAATAAATCCTGGTTTTCAATATTTTTAGCTTTTCTTGAGTTATGTAGAAAATTTATTAAAAATAAACACCAAATCATATCCCAAGATTCTATCAAAGTGAATTTTTCATTACGTTCATTAGCTTAAAACTTATAAGAGCTATTTTCAGTCAGAGAGTGATTTGCTCTCGATGAATGTGATCACAGTCTCCAAATGAACATCACAGATAAAATAAGACCTGATTTTTGTACTTCACTCTTCAAATAAACTTCATTTGAAATCAATACTAGGAAAAAGCAAACATGGTCATCAAGAACAAGATTACATGGTGGTCTAACTACCATGGTCATCTGTAAAGCAAGGGTCTGTATTTTTTATCTCCTGATCGGAAAGAGATGGATAAAATCAGTGAAAAGATATAAGTTAGCGAGACTTCTAGCTTAAAGGAAAATCTGTAGTAGGATTTAAGAGTAAAGACATTTTCACAGAGGCAACTTACTGGCGCGGTAGCGAATTGCACCGAAGTTTCCTGATTCCTTCCTTCAGCTTATGTTCACCTCTCGGCGCGCTAGGAATCGAGCAATTCTGATGCAAGAATTTGCCCTTACATTGACTTCATGGAGGAGAATTAAAATTTACCCGATCGTGTATTTTTATAATGTTTTTGAAAAGCTTCGAACATAATATTCCTTGAAGAGAGAAGAACCGTATTACCGTTACAGAATGCGATCTGACATTGCTTACAATGGTGAATACTTGCTACAGATGCAGATGTACTGACAATATCTGATTATCTCGCTGACCACTAATCAAATACATCAAACCAATGCACTAAATTGAGGCTAAGAATAAAGGGATCAACATGAATCCAACAGTTCAGCTTTCAGTAATCTTCCCTTTGGCGGTAACAATTAGGTAACTTCAGTGCAAATCACTAGTGCACCAGAGGGTTATGTCATTAAAATTGAGTTTTCTCGCAAAACCCCTGACCGACTTTCTAAAACTTGAGCTTGCTCTTAAGAGGAAAATATACGTAGCTCGTATCAATTCGATTCCACCGACTTGATTCACCTCTATCTGTCCAGAAGATATGACACGGAGAATCTTACTTGACAAAGGGCTCATGTATGAAAGATGTGACATTAGACAAATCAAAAAAAGTAAGAAGGCATACATACTTTTGATATGAGTACAGTAGAATCACTTACAAGAGAAATATTCTTAGAGATTCCTTACATATCCAAGAGAAATACACTTATTTTCAGTTTGAACAGTTTTCTTTCATTTCTAAATGACTGAAAAATTTTAGCGATGTGTAAAAAAACCACCTAAATGCTAACGGTACCACAAATAAACAAATAAAATTAAACACACTAGACAAATGTATTACTTTAAAAATTATTTCATTTACTGATTTGATTTTTTTATTCGATCACCTAAAGAGTCGCACCTTTTAACAGGACGGATTTAATTTTAACTGTATTCTAAAAGCCCAAAACTTACAGTATAACCGAACAGATATTTTTTTTCAAGAGCTGATGCTTCAGGAAAAAATTTAGTCACTACTATTTCTGTTGATCCAATGACCAAGAAACTGTTTCTTGATGTTTATGCTAATGTAACTGAGGAAAGAATCCGAGGGGATAAAACACAAGAGTATTTTCATGTTTCCTGGATGCAATGGAAGTTATGGTCCCAACGAAAAAAGTAAATTACTTGATGTTAAAAACAGATGATTAAAAATATTCTTCTAGACTTGCAAACCAATTTAAGACAATGTCATAGCCTCCTCACTTTAAAACCCTAAACTTTTTTTTAAAATGTACAGATATGAATACATCAGACTTTCCTTTCCAATAGATTTGATTAAAATTAAATATAAAAACACTGTAAAAAGTGATACCTACAAACTTTCGGTGAAAAATAGAAATAAGTTCCATATTTTCAACTAATTTTTTTTTTTAATCTTATGATTAATTTTTACTTCTTATTATGTTTGATTGTTTATTTTAATTTTTTAGTAGTCAACTTTTGATCTATGTTTAGGAATTTTACACATACAAATTATCTTACAACGAATTTTATCAGCCTTTCATGAGTAGTTTGCATGGTAAATCCATGTTCGTAAATAATAATATGACTATACATAGGAGAAAGGGCAGTTTAGGAGGCAGTGAGTTACATATTTTACAGTTAATTTGAAAAGGACAAGGTTTCTGAGTAGAATTTTAGCATTGATGCCACCAACATGAAGCCTTTCAAAAAATTTGATGAGAACTGAATATCCAAGTATAAAAAACTGGTGAGCGGCGAGGGGCTCGAGCGTATCTACATAAAGTTGCTAACTTACATTAAAACTGGCAGTGATAGAAATACAATGCTGAGTACTTACATATGAATAACCTAAAATAGAATATCACTGATGAATAGGAGAATGGAAATCCATAATACGGTTTCTCTTCTACACGAATTTTCTGCCACTAAAAGCAAGGAGAGACTTCCTGATTCACGGGCATTTGACTAGGAGAAAAACTCGATTCACAATAATGCGAAGAGGAAAATACTAAAGCTACAGATAACAGTAGGTGAAAAACTTGATTTCAGTCTTGAATTGCAGTTTGAGCGATGCTATTTTTTACGTTCTTATTAGGCATCGTTTGCGAAAGTGGAAAAATCATAACAAAAAGAGACATTCTCAGATACATCAGTCCAGAGATTGATAATTATCAAGTTAATTCAACTACCAATGAAATTTATTAATTCTCGTCCATACTTTTGGCATATTTTTGGATTAGAAATGCATTTCTGACTATAGAACGCTTTGACACACTGCTAAAGCCTAAAAACGGCTCATCTTCACTTTCATCATCAGAGCAGATTAGATCCAACAGTTTTTGAGGTGATAACTTTTTCTTGAAAATATTTGAATCTGAAGTAGAGTGGTCATAAGAAATTTCATGATCTGATGAGCTAGTGTCGGTAGTTACATCTCTTTCTCTGAGTTCTTCATCCTTCTCTGGAGTAAGGACTTTGCTGGAATCAAGTCTGACAAAACACTCAGGTATGAAGCCAGCGTTTGGATCAAAATTCGACATATTGGAAATTTTAACAGATAAATCACGGATTTTATCAATACTAGTTATGAATTCACGTTTAGAAGAACTACATTTTAATAACACTTCCGTTCTTTTTTTCTTCTTAAATTTAGTTAGCTTATTCCTACAGGCTTGCTTTTTGACTATGGAAGGTAAAAAATCAGTTAACAATTTCAAACGATTTCTTGCATTATTTATAGTAATTTCATTAAATCCAATGAAAGCAGGAGAACTTTCATCATCGCTATCACAATTACTTTTCATGGGAGATACTTTGGGAAAACTTGTCCGAATCGAACGAGAAATATCATTGGACGCAAACTTTTTCACCAAGTACCGGTCAAGAGTATTGGATGTCTTGCTTTTTTTCCTTTCACTGCTAGGCGGTGACTTTAACATGCTGAAGGAATCATCAAGATCTTTTGAGGCTGATTTTGAAGGACTTGTGGCAATCGACCTCGATTTCCTCGTAATCCTTGGTCTACGTTTGGCATCATCTACTTTTGATGGAGAATCGTTCTTACTCTCTTTTTTGGGGGTGGACTTAGCATTTTTTGATGGGCTTGGAACAGAGTTGGAGCCACTATTGAATAAATCTCTTTTGAATGTAAATTTATCATTGAATGAACTCATCTCTGAGACTGCGGAGCTACCACTAGAAATTTCTTCCTTGATTCCGTTATCAGAAGCCTTCCTACAGCCGTTGTTGGAACCAGGTTTTGTTGCTTTTAAGGATGGTGAGGACACTTTTTGAGTAGACCTTTTCGTGGGACTGGTGACCTTAGAAGGGGAATTAAGGGAAATTGAGGTGGGTAATTTGTCTTTAGAAGCACCTTCTTTCCCATTTTTAGTTGGACTAAATTTTGTTTCATTTACAATGCGTCCATTGACTTTATGATGAGAGGTTTTTGGAGGACTGGAGGATTCAATGTAAGGGTTAGAAGACACATTCCTTGATGATACTACTTCAAACGAAATTTTTTCGGCACTCTCAGTAGGACTTGATTCAGCTCTATCAGCAACAGGTCTTATGACATTCTTGTGCAAACTTTTAATGTGACTGGAAGCTCTGCTCTCTCTTTTAATTTTTTGAGCATCTTTTTTTTCATTTCTACTTGAATTTGATTCAGATTCATCTGAATATAAATTTGACGACAAGCTACGACTATTGGCAGCTGATGCATTTCTTTCAGGGCTTGCAATATTGCCAGCTGCCGGCGGTGTTCTTCTTTGGGGACTTACCTCTTCTACCATTTCACACTTCATAACTTCTGAACCATTCAAGTCAAGAGATGGAGCCTCCTTTTTTAGAGCTTTACATGGCATATCAGAAAGAATTAAAGTATCTTCGGGATGCTTAATAGAGCTAGAAGCAATATTATCATGCATTGTACTGTCTTCTGTAGATTTTTTGCAACTCACAGGGCTGAAATACCTACGTAGGCTGTCTTTACCAATCTTAGGCGGCGCTTTTACATTCAGATGCTCCTTTAATGGTGATATTGGAGCTTTAGAAAGTTTGCCATTTTGTGATTGAATTGACACTCCTGTAGGGAAATTTTTGTCTTCAGTTAAATGAGCTGATGGTATTTTCTGCAAGCTATTGGAAAGGGGACCATTTAAACCAAGATCATTTTGATCTTTGTCTACCATTTGAGCATTGGCTGTTGAAACATTTTGAGGAGTTTTAGCGGAGAAATGATGATTTTTACCTTCAGGGGAGACGTTCAATTTCTTTTGAGCCTCTTGGCGATTGACATTTTGTTTATTATTTTCTTGGTTAGTCTCTTGATCCCAGATGGGGAGATCTTGGCCTTTCATTCTAGATAACTTGAATTTGTACACCAGAAATCCAGATAAACCAGTCTCAGTCCAGTACTCATCAACCGTATACAAACCTGAAAATAATTGACAGATCTATGTAATGCTTTTGAAGTAAAAAAGGGTACTACATATTTCAATAAAATTTCGAAGCTCGAGTATATTTTGAGAGAATCTTCTTCGATATTTGTTGTTTTTTAGCTGGCTTTACAAATTATTTCCTTAATTTTCTTTATTTTCAGTTTCCTTTTAAAACTACATACCATATTATACCACATTATTGTTATGTTACTTTTGAGAACATGTACCTGACTTAGTATTAAATTTTAGGAAGGAAAGGTGCATTACACTGAGAAAACAATTGTTGACAGAGTCATTACCGCCAATCTGACTGCTGATTGGCAATTGGTTTGCCAGTTCTTGCTATGAAAGTCCCAGTCTGTACCTGGTGATGGTCCAAGGACCAAAACATGTCTTTAAAAGAAAATTCCCCGGCAAGCAAGTAAAAAGAAAAATTAATATTAGTTTGGTGTCGAGCGCTTAGGTGAAAAGTTTAAACAAGTTCTTGATATTCTCAATTTATATATTTACTTCCAAATAATTCTATTAATCCCAATTCAGCTCTATGTATCCTGATTTGGCACAATTTATTCTTATTTATCCTATTAATTCCAACTCATCTATTCCTCTTGATTACGAATGTAGAAGGTTCTTTGCTCTCTCGTTTTACAAACCCTTCCCCTCAGAAATTTCAATGTGATAGCCTTTTCATGGCTTCATACGTATAAACTGCTGTAATTTTGCGAAAAAAAAAAACACATGATTTTCAGTGCAGTTTTGCAATAATATAACTGCAGTTTTTCCAGCCTTCCCATTTTTCGAGCCCATTTTTGGGGCCTCCTCATTATTACACACAACAGATTGCAACTATACCTAGTCGTATGGTTAAGAGGTTTTTGCATCCGAAAATCCCAATTTATCCTGATTTATCTTCATTCATCCTGATTTTTTCCAATGAAGCCCAATCAATTAATCAATAACCAAATTTGAGATGATTGACATTATTGATAATGAGTTTTAATGTGTCTGCAGTCCCGGAGTCAAAGTACAAAGTTGAACTTACCATCATACCTGTAACCACTTTCAGGGGCATACAAGCTGTTGAGTTTGTAACCTCGGATGACCCGAACCGGATTCCTTGTCCTAACACTGGCAATTAAGGCAGCATTGGGTCCATCGGGGGTTTGATTTTTGCTTTGAGGAGCTGTTCGAAGATTCTTTGGATTAGTTTTTGTCCCTTTTAGATCACGTCCGCCAGCACCTGCAACAAGACACGTCAACGATATCATGACTACAACTCTTGAATGGTGATGTTGCACAATTTTGTAAGATTTAATTTTCGGCAAGTACTAAAAAAGTGAGAATGCTTGCATTTTGCCATTTTTCATTCGATGAAATTTCAGCTGAGAAAAGGCTTTCAGCGAAGCCAAAAATCCATCTCAGTTTCCAGAAAAACACAGGGAGGAAAAATTTCCCGACAACACAAGAAGAATTGACCACTGTGTATCCTTTCACCAGCATTTGTTCACTTACTTTCAGATCACAACCATAAAAAGAGGTAATGTATATGGAATGTGCTCACAATAAAATCATTGTTTGAAGTGAATATATTTTTTTTTTTTTTTTTTTTTTTTTTTTTTTTGTAAAATTGTTTATTCCTGATTTGAATTATGCGGCCACCATGTTGCATTTGATTTGAGGTGGTTGAATTGTGGGTTGTTGCCCAGGCTAACAAGAACCATTTTCTTCTTAACCTGAACTTTCAGCCTCTTCATTTTCAGTTAAAGCTTGGGAACAGGTTTCGCTCTAAAATTTTCTGTAGAAACACTTATTTTCGAAGAGATTTCTGGATCTTCCACTACCCTTATTAAATTTAACTTAAATTTTTTTTCAAAATAAGATTCTTGTACGACACGACTGATTGAATGGTACTAAATGGATTACATGATGGTATGATAATAATGAAGAGATTTCCTAGGGCTTCTGAGGTATAGAAAACATACCTGTATAGGTGAAATGATCGCCATAGTCAACATCATCTTCATAGCCACCAGAAAGGGCAATACTATAGGCACCATCAGGACCTCCATGGATTCCAGCAACAGTTGGTCGATGAATACCCGCTGTGGAGCATTCTAAACGATACTCCCAACAGTCACCAACTTTGATCCCTTAAATTAAAAAATATTACAAATATAAACTAAAAATGTATTCAAACTAATCCCTGAGATTAAAAATAATTTTGAAGCTGACTCATGAAGAGAAATACACTGCCAAATTCCATGATAAATGGGTTTCACTGGAACTACAACTCCTTCGAAGATTGCATACGAGAAGGGACCCAAAAAAACCAGAATTTTGCTATAACTTGGCAACGATTGAGAATATTCCGGTTCCACCACTGGGAAGAGTAACTAGCAGCTATGAAGAGTCACTAGGTCAAATTTCAACATCGTCACACAATTTCTTTTAATTTGGCAAGACTTGGTTTAAGGGATTGTCTGGCGAGTTCGTCGTTCTTGAAGATGGGTCAATTTCAGTAACTTAGCACTCAAATTTTTCTCTTTTACTTGATAAAAACACGCATTTCACTGTTGACCTTTTAAAGTGATGCTTTCGGAGGACAAGCCTCATTAAAAACTTCAGTAATAGTACGGTTTTTCGCTTTTAAATGGTGCAGTGTCGCCCAAAACCCCTGTATGGCTCCAAACCGCCATTGCCATAAGAAAGAACCCATGCAAATAATGAAAAAAAAATGCATTTTTGTGAATGAGGGTGGTTATAGATCATTTAATTGACTAGCAAATATCACTCGAATGTAATACAGAAATATGCAAAACGTTGCTGCGAAAAATTTGGGCCTGAAACGCGTTGTTGTTGAATTGATTCCCCATTTAGCGTACTAGCCGGTGACTGCTGCTGGGCATCCAGCCGAAATTCGAACAATTAATCTTACTCTAAGACAAAGAAAAACATTTATTCACTTATGTCATGAGTGAAACATGTTTCCTAAAAGATTCGCTCCAAAAATTGACAGAGTTAGCCGCGCATTGCCCATGAAAATCACCCGTCTTCAAAAACGACGAACTCGCCAAACAACCCTTTGGACCAAGTCTCACCAAAATAAAGGAAATTACGCAACGACGTTTGGCCTAGTTACTTTTCATAGCTATAGTTACACCCGCTAGCAGTAGAACCCGGATATTTTCCACCGTTGCCAAGTTACAACAAAATTCCGGGTTTTTTTTGAGTTCCTCTTCGTACTTACATGCAGTATTTTATTGAAGAGTCGTCAAGCAAGTTAGATGGAACAAGCAAGTTAGACCATGGTTACTAGAACTGGGGAAAGAAAAGAACAGACAGAAGTCACATAGGAAAATAGCACCACTCAACATAAATTTATATATTAACTTATGTGCCAAATGATGTTTGATGCATGCAGGTAGGACTGTTCTATCGGTTGTCGGTAAGCTACCGAAACAGTTCCGTTAAGAGAAAGTTACAATGAGAGCGCTCTTACCGATAGGGGTCTGAGTTTTTGGAGCTGATGAAAATAAGCTGTTGCCATGTGTGCATCTATATTTTACAAGCCACTGTGCCAGGCAATCTGACAAACCAAAACACAGGGCAATAATGAATTGAGTGCGAGCTCTCAAAACTCCGATAAGGTGGGCTGTTAACGATATCATCGCCACTGTCGGTACTGCCACCAGTTACGGTTTAAGACGATACTGATAGCGTACCAGCAAGAATTTGTTTGAACACCCCTACATGCAGGTTGATGTGACCTTTGTCCATTTTTTCTCAATATCAAATCTAATAAATTTATGCAAATTTGTCTTACAACATTGAAATTCCAATAGTTAGACATTTCTGAAAGTAACAAAAATAAAGTAGTGAGTGCAGTACCTGCAACAGGACCATAGAAATTATCTCGGTATTCTTTCTTTTTTGAACGAGGTGCTTCAAAATCAGGATCTTCATCATCCTGGGGGAAAAACGAAGTTGAAATGTTAAAAAATGCAAGTCACATAAATTGATTTAAAATTATGTATCACTACAGGGTGTCTATCTACTAAAATTGACTGGTAAAAAATCAGTTCTTTGACAGTATTTTTTTAACTTTCTCACAAAATTTGTTCCCTCCTCAACAGAAAAATTCTGTTCCACATGACAAAATTCGTAAATTCGAAATTCACAAGCAAATCGCCACAAAAATGATGTAGCCACAAAGTTCAAAGCTCATTGGTGGCCTAAAGATCAACTGGCTGCCCAGTGCAATACAGTGGACCAATACTTCACTAAAAATCAATGCATAAAGCGTTGTGTACTTTCCAGGCTGGATTGAAAAACACGCACGGCATGAGGCAAAAAATTACGGACTTTCTAACGGAGTTTCCATACTTTTTTGGTACTTCTAAACCACCCTTAAAATTCAGTTTGAATTAGGCACCAGCAGACAACTTAACCAGTATGACTAATTGAAAAGAACAGATGTCAACATGATGAGTAGCTCGATTTAGTTTGTTTGAATTGCAGCTTTAGGATTCTATAATTTTCAACAGTTGAAGAATTGAGTAACCTCTATCCAATGAGCAAAAAATCTTAAAGGCCTTGATACTCCACATTATTCTTCATCCTAGTTAGAGTATTGATGAAATTCAGGACGCTGCTTTGATAAAATGATGAATATGAGTAACAAACTGATAGAACTTACCTCAATGCATTCATGCTGATACTGATCTCCCAACTGAGCTGATCTGCGTGTTACCATCCTCCGAACTGGTGCTGGACTTGCCGTAGGCTGACGTCTTTTCTTGGCAGATTTTGGGGTTGAATTTACGTTTTGATCCTTGGTGTGCTGAAAAATATTGAAAAGATCACATCTGAAGATGAGGGATCTTGAATCTTGAAAAGTGACAAAAAGTAGGCTTAGATAAGAGGCAAAATAGGAAAATTTGAGTGAAGTGGAATTGAATCAACTCGTGCGGAGGCATCATCATTTTGCATTTGGCAACAAAAAAATTGATGCATTCAATATGGAGATAAAATGCAATATTTTCTTCTTCTTCTTCTTTGATGATGGTTTATTGGCTTCATGCTCCGGTGTGGAGCCCACAGCCATCTATAGACACATTGTGGTAGGTAAGTGGTTAAAATGTTGAGGAGAGAATTAAGTGGGGGGATAGGGAGTAGATATGCAAAGGGGACTGAGGGGGTACCAACACCATGAAATGCAATATTTTTATTTTGGGCCAAATCCTGATTTCATTTTCTAAAAATTTGCAATTTTTTTTCTTGTAGAATGATTTTGTGAACTTGTGCTGAGGGGCCACTGTGTCCTTTTTTGGATATTAAGTCAAAGTCTGCCAAGATTTTCAACTCTCTTTTGGCTAGGAAGTCAAAGTCTGCCAAGATTTTCAACTAACTCAATGCAATACATCGCATGCCAGTTCAACAATGTCAAACACCTGGGTTTAATCTCCTGAAGTTCCTGTTTAGAGCTTAGTCTCAAGGATGTCAAGTCAAATTTAACCTGATCTGATTTTAAGTACTTATACTTTTCAATTCATTTCAAAATTTTGAATTCATTCATGATCTGATAATTGTATTATAAATAGTGTTAATACTAAGAAATAGATACTCACAGTTTGGGTAGGAGGTTTGTTCGAGATCAATCCAAGCTCCAGGAGGCACTTACGATTCTCCTCTATCTTCTTGAGCCTCAACCGCTCATACTCACTAATCTCGTCCCCATGTTCCATTTTGATTAAATAGTTACAAGCAAATCCAAAGCATTGATAAAAACTGGCAAGTAAAAAAAAAAAAAAAAAAATTAAAACCAAAGGATTCTGAGCATTAAATAAGATACCTAACAGAACATAGGAGGTTATAGGTATCATAGTGTTTGTGTGATTTTTCCCTCGTTCTCAAATTTTGGTTTTTTGGTGAAAGAATAATGTGTCTATTCCGTATGGTTTATTTTCCTTCCATTTCAAAAAAGTAAGCTCATGGTGATTCGTCCCAGATTCTTGAAATGGTTCAACTGGCTTGCAGTACATCACATCAATAAAAAAAAAAAAACTCAGTAGATTTGGACTTCAGGGCAAAAAAAAAAAACAGCCCCTGGGCATGAGCCTTGAAAATCATTTCTCAACCAAAAGATTGCAAAATTCAGGGAAATGACGAAATAAGGATTCTTTTTGAAAAAAAAGTTGAATTCAATACAGGGATCAATTATGCACTGTATCGAATGCAAAACTTTTTTCAAAGAGGAGTCCTGCTTTCATACTTCAGAATTTTGCAAATTTTTGGTCACAAATGATTCTTAAGACTCATGCGCAGGGGCTATCGTCTTTCCCTGCCGAAAAAGTTCAATTCTGCTAAGATTACTATTTAATAAATGCAGTAGATATGTCACACACCAGTTTAACAACACCAAGAACCCGAGACAAATCATCATTTGCTAAACCTCATTTTGATGCTTACAGATGAAATGGAGTTTATGAAATTTTACTGTACAGCCTGATTACAATGGGCAGTACTGTCCATAATTGACAGTATCAGGAATACACATATCATGGAAGTGATTTGTCAAGCTCAAGTGACGTGGTCAAACTGATATGCAATATATCGCACTGAATAGGTCAAAAATCTCAACAGATTTTGAATTTATAGCAAAAAAAAGGACAATAACCCATGCGCTTGAGCCTAACGAATCATTCTAAGCCCAAAAATCAGCAAAATTCAGAGAAATGAAAGCAGAATAGTGTTCGGAAAAATCCTTGCGTTTGACACAGCTATCGATTTCTATATCCAGTGCAAGGTTCCTTTCCTATCACTATTCTGCTTGCAATTCTCTGAATTTGGCCAATTTTTGGGTTGAGAATGATTCTTTAAGCACAAGCCCAGGGACTATCGCCCTTTTTTTGGCTAAAAATTTAAAATCAGCCAGGCTTTTCACCTATTGATGCAATGTATTGCATGCCAGTTTGACCATCACTTGAGCTTGACTAATTACCCTAAAGACCGACCTTTCGATGGTGTAAGTCAGCAATCACAAAACTTGATTTTCGGTGGTTTTGAGTTAGCTGCAGAAATGAAGTGTAGTAGATGCCCTTTTCCTGCTATCAAAATATTTCAGTCAGAAAAAATCTGGAAGTCACCTAAAAATGTAGAACCCAAAACACACATCTCGGCGTTAATTCCATTAACACATAACTCATGCCGTCGCGCCGCATGTTTACACAGCGCACGCTCTCCCAGGAAGAATTGTGCGCAGTTTAGGAGGAAAAATTAAAAGTTAGGCGTCACAGAATCTTCAAACAACAAAAACATTGTTATTGTTTTAACATCGAACATCTAATCCAACAGATAACTAGGTAATTGTTTGCTTGTTTTTGTCTTCATTTCATTTTAATTTGTAATTCGACGGCATAAGTCCGCAATCACATAATTGTCTCGTTCAGTGTCTGAAAATCTCCGCCTCTACGTTATTTTTTTAAAAGGAGAGCCTCGACTCATTTGACATCATTCCTTGCAGTTTATACAGAATTTTCTTCGCATGGAGAAGAAAACTCTCGGCAGTGTTAAAGAATTGCCGTTGAGTAGTTTTCCGTATAAAAATTGAAATATGACAGGAAGTCTGCAACGTTGTAAACCGAGTTATGTGATTGCCGACTTACGCCGTCGAATTGTTTTCCGGTGTCATTCTAAAGATTCGCTACCAATTAAAGTTTGTTAACAGGAACTTTAGGCTACTTTTAAAGTGAGAAGAGTCTTATTCAGTCTTTATTCAGTCAACATTGGCAAAGAATAGAGGTTTGAATCAGTAATTTGCTGACCACGAATCTCAGAATTCAGTGTTGGACCTTAGTTCCACAGACACATAACTCGGTTTTTCCGTCATTTCTCCTGACAGACAAGAATATTATTCAAAATGATGATAGAGTCTTATAAAGCATCTTATCCTTGCTGTCCCTAAGAATTATTTCCCCTATACCTTCAAAGATGAGGAATGTGGATAGTTTTCGCATTTTCCGAGTTATGTGATTGCCGACTTACATCAACGCTTTGTCCTTATTTCAGTAACATGCATCATCGTTCATCTTGTGTGTAGCTAGTCAGTCCTTCAGATGTTTGGGAAAAGTTTGAGATACGACTGTCAGCCCAAATTGTCCTTTTTAAAGCTTGAAAATTGAAATATTTTCTTGCTTGATCGCCCATTCTGTGGCACTAACAGGGTGTAAAGCCGAACTCTAATGATAGGACAGATGTAGACACTACTAAATGCTGAAACTTAATTAATCATAAAACGTGCGAAAGGCTTTCCGAATTTCGTTTAGAATACTCTAAACTATGTGAAATGAAGAGATGAGAATGCAATAAGTCATGATTTGGATGGCACTCACCAGTGGTGTAGCAATTTTAGTTCCAGTCAGCTAAAGTGGACACATGATACATAGAGATGAATTTGATCGTCAAAGATATAAAATCAGACTAAAACGTAAAGGTAGCAATTTCCACTCAGGCAGCGAGCTATTTACAATCGACTGGAGGAATCAGAATCAGAGAACAATGAAAATGTGGATGTTGAAGTGGGTTGCTTGCTTGGAACTTGGATGGAAGCGTTCTCGACTGGTTCTCAGGAGTCAGGTTCTCCAGGAAAACAGGAGCCGGCTGTTGGTCATTGATGTTGGTAGCGAAGACCGAAGAGAGCAGTACGTGCAACTGTGCAGTGTGCTAAAATGAAGCCTCCGTTCTTTGTCTTTCCCCTTGTCAGCCGAAAGATTCCGAGAAACCACTCGGTGGATAAAAGTCGACTGATTTTATTTCAATTACACGAAAAGGGCATTTTTCATTTACTAACATGCCAGGCTACTTTGAAGCAAGGCAGCCGTAAGTGCTACAATACTATCCTCAATCCTCTGCACGCTTCGTGGTTGCGCTTTTGTCATAACATTTTCTGGTTAGAAATAGTCCATGGTAATAGTTAGAATAGAAAACATAGAAAATGGATAGAGAAACACTTTACTTGAAACCATTGTTCTCATTGGCTCTCTGGGAAGTATGTCACTTACTGCTGTCTTGCCTGTCTTGCCTGAAACTTCGTCATTTACGGCGCACTTGCGGCTGTCTCACAGTATAAAGTCTTGTTTTATCAATTGATGATAAAGATGAATTGTTGCCTATTTCAGCTATTTCCGTGATTTAATCTACCTATGATCGAAATTGAATTTGAAGTTGAAGGTATCAGGAAGTATTATATACGACCGGAAACTCGAATTTTTTGATACATTCAAAATTCCAAAGTTCAAAATGGCGGCCGTGACATAAAACACTGAGTAGGATGCTGTTCCATCGATTTTTATGAAACTGATTCTACAAACTCACAAAAAACCAGGCAGCCCGCTAAAGTGTGCAAGAAAGATAGATGATCGTCTGGCAAGACGCGTGAGTGTGCGAGAGAGACAGAAAACAGCCAGCAAACCGGCCGGTGCGTGCGAGAGAGAAAGAAAATGGCCAGGCAGCCGCTAAAGTGTGCCAGAGAGACAGAAAACAGCCAAGCGGGACGCCTAAGTGTGCGAGAGAGACAGAAAACAGCCACGCGGCCCGTCGGTGTGTGCAAGAGGGACAAAAAACGGCCAGGGAGCCCGCTAAAGTGTGCAAGAGCGACTGAAAATCACCTTGCAAGAGGCGAGACCGCGAGAGAAACAGAAAACAGCCTGGCGACTCTCTTAAGTGTGCGAGAGAGATAGAAAATAGCCAAGCGTATAGCGCACACGTGAAAAAAAAATCGCCCAGCTGGACTCGCGTTGTTTTTACGGAAAAGCCGCATCGCGTTCCCGGCGACCCTCTGAGAGCGGTTGCACCCTCGGATGCCCCTTGGCAAGACGCTTAAGTGTGCGAGAGAGATAGAAAATCGCCTGGTAGGACGCGCGTTTAAGCAAGCAGCCTGACTATTTTCTGTCTCTCTCGCACACCCAAGCGTCCTGCCAGGCGATTTTATATCTCTCTCGCAAACTTACGCGTCGCGCCGAGGGCAACCAAGGGCGCAACCACTTTCAGAGGGTCGCGGGGGAACGCGATGCGCCTTTGTCGTAAAAACAACGCAAGTCCAGGCAGGAGATTTTCTCTCTCTCGCGCACTTATACGAGTGAAGCTTGGCTATTTTCTATCTCTCTCGCACTTGAGCCAGCCGCCTGGCTGTTTTCTGTCTCTCTTACACACCTAAGCGTCCCGCCTGGCTGTTTTCTGTCTCTCTCGCACACCCAAGCGTCCCACCAGGCGATTTTCTATCTCTCTCGCACACATGGGCGAGCCGCCTGCCTGTTCTCTGTCTCTCTCGCACACCCAAGCGTCCTAACAGGCGATTTTCTATCTCTCTCGCACACTTAGGAATCCCGCCAAGCGCACCCGAGGGCGCAACCACTCTCAAAGGGTCGCGGGGGAACGCGATGCGCCTTTGTCGTAAAAACAACGCAAGTCCAGCCGGGAGATTTTCTTTCTCACTCGCACTTATGCGAGTGACGCTTTGCTATTTTCTATCTCTCTCGGACACTTGAGCGAGCCGCCTGGCTGTTTTCTGTCTCTCTCACACACACCTAAGCGTCCGACCAGGCGATTTTCTATCTCTCTCGCAAACTTGAGCGAGCCGCTTGGCTGTTCTCTGTCTCTCTCGCACACCCGAGCGTCCTACCAACCGATTTTCTATCTCTCTCGCACACTTAGGAATCCCGGCAAGGGCAACCGAGGGCGCAACCACTCTCAGAGGGTCGCGGGGGAACGCGATGCGCCTTTGTCGTAAAAACAACGCAAGTCCAGCCGGGCGATTTTCTTTCTCTCTCGCACTTATGCGAATGACGCTTGGCTATTTTGTATCTCTCTCACACATGAGCGAGCCGCTGCCTGTTCTCTGTCTCTCTCGCACACCCGAGCGTCCTACCAACCGATTTTCTATCTCTCTCGCAATCTAAGGAGTCCCGGCAAGGGCAACCGAGGGCGCAACCACTCTCAGAGGGTCGCGGGGGAACGCGATGCGCCTTTGTCGTAAAAACAACGCAAGTCTATCGGGGAGATTTTCTTTCTCTCTCCAACTTATGCGAGTGACGCTTGGCTATTTTCTGTCTCTCTCGCACACTTGAGCGAGCCGCCTGGCTGTTTTCTATCCCTCTCACACACACCTGAGCGTCCTACCAGGCGATTTTCTATCTCTCTCGCGCACTTGAGCGAGCCGCCAGGCTGTTTTCTGTCTCTCTCATACACCTAAGCGTCCCGCCTGGCTGTTTTCTGTCCCTCTCGCACAGGCAAACGTCGTCTGCGAGAGAGATAGACAATAGCCAAGCGTCTACGCATAAGTGCGAGGGAGAAAGAAAATCGCCCGGCCCCACTTGCGTTGTTTTTACAACAAAGGCGCATCACCTTCCCCCTCTGAGAGTGGTTGCACCCTCGGTTGCCCTTGGCAGGACGCCTAAGTGTGCGAGAGAGATAGAAAATCGCCAGGTAGGACGCTTGGGTGTGCGAGAGAGACAGAAAACAGCCAGGCGGCTCGCTCATGTGTGCGAGAGTGATAGAATATCGCCTGGTAGGGCGCTTGAGTGTGCGAGAGAGACAGAAAACAGCCATGCGGGGAGAAGGAAAATCGCCCGGCTGCACTTGCGTTGTTTTTACAACAAATGCGCATCACGTTCCCCCACGACCCTCTGAGAGTGGTTGCACCCTCGGTTGCCCTTGGCGGGACGCCTAAGTGTGCGAGAGAGATAGAAAATCGCCTGGTAGGACGCCTAGGTGTGTGTAATAGAGACAGAAAACAGCCAGGCGGCTCGCTCAAGTGTGCGAGAGAGATAGAAAATAGCCAAGCGTCACTCGCATGAGTGCGAGGGAGAAGGGAAATCGGAAGGGAGAGACAGCAAATAGCCAGGCGGGACTTGAGTGGTTTTTCTGCCAAAGCAGCATCGCGCTCCCCCGCGACCCTTCGAGAGTGGTTGCACACTCGGTTGCCCCGTTTCCAGTGCGAGAGAGACAGAAAAACTCCGAGGTAGCAAGCGTATAAGTGCGAGAGAGATAGAAAATCGCCCAGGTAGGAAGCCTATAAGTGCGAGAGAGACTGCGAATAGCCAGGCGGGACTTGGGTGGTTTTTCCGCCAAAGCAGCATCGCGTTCCCCCGCGACCCTCCGAGAGTGGTTGCACCCTCGGTTGCCCCGTTTCTTGTGCGAGAGAGACAGAAAATCTCCGAGGTAGCAAGCGTATAAGTGCGAGAGAGATAGAAAATCGCCCAGGTAGGAAGCCTATAAGTGCGAGAGAGACAGAAAATAGGCAGGCGGCTCGCTAAAGTGTGCGAGAGAGACAGAAAAACGCCCAGGTAGGAAGCCTATAAGTGCGAGAGAGACAGCAAATAGCCAGGCGGGACTTGGGTGGTTTTTCCGCCAAAGCAGCATCGCGTTCCCCCGCGACCCTCCGAGAGTAATTGCACCCTCGGTTACCCTGTTTCCAGTGCGAGAGAGACAGAAAATCGCCGAGGTAGCAAGCGTATAAGTGCGAGAGAGATAGAAAATCGCCCAGGTAGGAAGCCTATAAGTGGAGAGAGACAGAAAATAGCCAGGCGGCTCGCTAAAGTGTGCGAGAGAGACAGAAAATCGCCCAGGTAGGAAGCCTATAAGTGCGAGAGAGACTGAAAAGAGCCAGGCGGGATTTGAATGGTTTTTCCGCCAAAGCAGCATCGCGTTCCCCCGCGACCCTTCGAGAGTGGTTGCACCCTCGGTTGCCCCGTTTCCAGTGCGAGAGAGACAGAAAATCGCCGAGGTAGCGAGCGTATAAGTGCGAGAGAGATAGAAAATCGCCCAGGTAGGAAGCCTATAAGTGCGAGAGAGACAGCAAATAGCCAGGCGGGACTTGGGTGGATTTTCCGCCAAAGCAGCATCGCGTTCCCCCGCGGCCCTCCTAGAGTGGTTGCACCCTCGGTTGCCCCGTTTCCAGTGCGAGAGAGACAGAAAATCGCCGAGGTAGCAAGCGTATAAGTGCGAGAGAGATAGAAAGCCGCCCAGGTAGGAAGCCTATAAGTGCGAGAGAGACAGAAAATAGCCAGGCGGCTCGCTAAAGTGTGCGAGAGAGACAGAAAATATCCTAGGTAGGAAGCCTTTAAGTGCGAGAGGGACAGAAAATAGCCAGGCGGCTCGCTAAAGTGTGCGAGAGAGACAGAAAGTCGCCCAGTTAGGAAGCCTAAAAGTGCGAGAGAGACAGCAAATAGCCAGGCGGGACTTGGGTGGTTTTTCCGCCAAAGAAGCATCGCGTTCCCCCGCGACCCTCCGAGAGTGGTTGCACCATCGGTTGCCCCGTTTCCAGTGCGAGAGAGACAGAAAATCTCCGAGGTAGCAAGCGTATAAGTGCGAGAGAGATAGAAAATCGCCCAGGTAGGAAGCCTATAAGTGCGAGAGAGACAGAAAATAGCCAGGCGGCTCGCTAAAGTGTGCGAGAGAGACAGAAAATCGCCCAGTTAGGAAGCCTAAAAGTAAGAGAGAGACAGCAAATAGCCAGGCGGGACTTGGGTGGTTTTTCCGCCAAAGAAGCATCGCGTTCCCCCGCGACCCTCCGAGAGTGGTTGCACCCTCGGTTGCCCCGTTTCCAGTGCGAGAGAGACAGAAAATCTCCAAGGTAGCAAGCGTATAAGTGCGAGAGAGATAGAAAATCGCCCAGGTAGGAAGCCTATAAGTGCGAGAGAGACAGCAAATAGCCAGGCGGGACTTGGGAGGTTTTTCCGCCAAAGCAGCATCGCGTTCCCCCGCGACCCTCCGAGAGTGGTTGCACCCTCGATTGCCCTGTTTCCAGTGCGAGAGAGACAGAAAATCGCCGAGGTAGCAAGCGTATAAGTGCGAGAGAGATAGAAAATCGCCCATGTAGGAAGCCTATAAGTGCGAGAGAGACAGAAAGTAGCCAGGCGGCTCGCTAAAGTGTGCGAGAGAGACAGAAAATCGCCCAGGTAGGAAGCCTATAAGTGCGAGAGAGACAGCAAATAGACAGGCGGGACT